GGATCGATGATGCTTTAATTCGTACTTAGGCTTACACGACTAAAGAAAAGCCTATTTTCTAGCGCGTTTTGAGTTGGAAAATGTTGATGGAAAACAAATGTCTGCCAAATACATTTTTTCCAGCATAAAAAAGTGGGTTGGAAAAAATTGTTAGTATCTAGCGCTAGAAAATAATGGGTAATTGTAATTTAGGAAAATAATGGGTAACAATATACCCATAACATATTTTAGTTTGTCATTACCTGATATTTTTCAGCTATAAGTGCTAAAAAATAGTTGATAGGTAGCACAAAATTACCTTTTATTTAATAGAAAGTAATATCCATAAAATTTAAAAAAATTCATTTATACAATGCTATAATTATATACCATTAACAAAGATCTACAAATACAAAATAATAATTAATATGAATAAAATTAACCATAAAATAATATTTTATATATTATATAGAAAAAGTGTATATCAATCTCAACTCCCAAAAGTAATTGGAGTCCCAACTTTATATTATGTTATTTTATTTAATTAAGACTCAATTTAAAATTAAAAAAATTATCTTATTAAATGTTGATATATTAGAATATATAATGGATTTCCAAATTTAGATATCAATATTTTATAAAATGAGATTTTAGTTTCCAAATATAGATAAGAACTCCAATTATTTTTTAGAATCGGGATTGATTAGCACTAATCTCTATTATATAGAGGAAAAGGATGTTGATCGGTGCACCCTGTCGATTCAACACCTAGCGGAATACATCCTATAAAATATGTTTTATTAGTCAGTTTGGAAAAGGGTTGAAACTGTAGACATAGTTTAGTCTTGTTACCAAATAGATTAGAAATAAGTGTCTCCCCTATTCATCTTCTTTCCCATGAACCTAGCACTTCTACCCATTTTCAACTACATTTCTCTTCCCCCTTCCCTTGTTATGACTAGGTTTGTGCAAACATGGTGTTGTGAATGATTTGGGTTCAACACAGATCTAGGTTCCTCGTGAACCCAGATCTAACCCAACACATGAATCGATGTCGATGATGACCCAATTTTATTTCCATTAGTTCTTTAGTAATTCCTAAATCCCCTCACACTTCTTGTTCCCAAATAGCCAAATTGGAGAACTCATCAATGCAAAATGGCTTCTAGAAATTGAGGGTTAAAAAGGAACAAGTTACAAGTATGAGATCTAGTGGAGGCAAGTTTCTTGGGGAGGTGGTTTATAGTTGCCCTTCTTGTTTTGAGAAACAAAGTAGTGGATGGAGGAGGAAAGGGAAATTTAAGGAGGATTGGAGAAGAGAATGCATTTGAGGGGAGGTGACGGGTGAGAAAGGGAAAGGAAGCAATATGTTGTGAGGGAGAAGACAAGTATAAGAGTATTTTGGCACCCCACAATATTTTATTGGGTGAACTGGAGGTGTGTGGTGGTGTGTATCGGTTTAGGATGTGCACATATCATTCCCCATAGAAAAAGTGCATAGCAGTCTTGACTCCCAAAAAAAATTAAAGTTTTAACCTTAAATTACGTCGTTTTATTTAATTAAAACTTAATTTATAATTTTAAAATTTTAAAATTTATCTTATTAAATATTACTATTTAGATTTGTGAATTGATTGGATTTTTGAATTTTGAATTAAGAATTTAGTTTCTAAATATAAGTTGGAACTCTATTTTTTTTTTTTTTAAGTTGGGACTAATACGTATTAACTTCATATATATATTGATGTATTAAAATCACTTTAACAAGTACATTAGTCACTTTAAATAATATAATGATGAAAAAAGTGTTAAACTCACAAGAATTGTACTTAATTATGTACAAAAAATAATTAATTTAGATTTATTTAAACAATCGAAAATGAAGGAACTTTAATTAAAAATGACTAAAAAGAAAACAACAATCAAAATAAAGATAATTAAGATATGAGGTATCAAAACATCCACTTTGCCCATAATTAAAATCAATCAATATAGATTCTAGGTTAATATACTTTTAAGATCAATTTATTGAGTGTTATTACATATAATGATGGATTGCCCTAAATTAATTAACTGGTTTTCTCAAGTCAAGTTAATCTTTTACTTATTTGTTAAATTAGTCATATTTTTATATAATTTAAAACAAATTAATGAGTATAAGTGATGGGAAAACCCCTAACTAAGAAGGGGAGCTCCTAACTCTCTCATATTCCTCCATTACCATATATAATGCTAATTACCTCTTAGTCTCGTACTTTAATACACGGTCTATATATATTGTTATTGGTTAAATTTACGTAATTTTTTCTCGAGTTCACACATAAATCACATAAATCACATATTAATCAAAAGGTGATTAAACTTTTGAAACATTAAATTCAATAATAAAAAACATTGTTTTCAAAATCAAACCAAAGGTCAAACTGTTTTGACCTCCAGTTCACGATTTTGATGGTTCAATCGATTTAACCGGTTAAAAACCCGAGTTGATTAAATTTCAAAAATATAGATTAAATATAATACAATGAACCTTATGCCAAAGAATTAATTGTGGCTCTAGTGGTCAAAAGCCTTAACTTTATTGAGGAGAATTAGAGTTTGAGTCCTATTAGTGTCAAATTTATTCAATTTATGTAATTCTATGATAAATAAATCTTAATGCACAAGAGGACAACAAAGTTGAATCAGACCAAGTGGCACGAATCTTGTAAAGCATTCCATAGGGTCAGTGGTCGAACCTATGGAAGTCATTTTCCCTTTAAAATCTTTCTAACATTCTTTAAAAGATATTCTTTGCAACTTTGTTCACAACAAGTGGGGTATCCTGGTGGTTAAAATCAATTTTTAGTCCCTCACCTTATAAAATTAATAAGTTTTAGCCTCTAACTTTATAATATGACATTTTTAATCCTTTACCTTACAAAATTAATAGGTTTTAACCTCTCACCTTATAAAGTTGATAGGTTTTAACCTCTCACCTTATAAAGTTGGTAGGTTTTAGCCCCTCACCTTATATTATGATACTTTTAACCTCTTATCTGTATGAATTGAAGAAAATAGCTCTTATTTAATATTAGATTATAATATTATATTAATTTTGTTAATTGACTGTCAGTTCTATTAACTGACTATCAATTCGGTTAACTAACACTCAGTTCTGTTGGCTGACTATTAATTCTGTTAATTAACTATTAGCAACTGTTAGCATCTATTAGCATTCTGTTAATGGAACTAACAAATATTTTTTGAATTTAAATTTCATGTTTTTTATAACGGAATACAAACGGATGTTAACAGTCAATTAACAAAACTAACAAAATGTTATAATCTGATGTTAGGTGATGGTTATTTTCTTTAATTTGTATCGGTGATGGGCTAAAAATATCATAATATAAGGTAAGAGGTTAAAACTTACCAACTTTATAAGGTGGCGGGCTAAAACTTACCAATTTTGTAAGATAAAGGGTTAAAATTGTCATGTTATAAGGTGAGGGGCTAAAACCTACCAATTTTGTAAGGTGAGGGGTTAAATGTTGGTTTTTGGCAGCAAATGGTTTGGTAACCCTCTGTGAGGCCTTGTGTTCGAAACCTAGAGGAGACAAATTTCGAAGAATTTCTTCTCAATAGTTGGTCCGATTGGTTGGACAGGTTATTGGTTCTTATCGGCTTGGATGGTTTGAGTGGTTTTAAGCGATTCAACCTCCTAAACGGTTTGAAATACTCACTCAACCCGTTTCTACTACCGGGTGTCTGTCCGATTGGTTCCACCAATCGATCTGATCCAATTTTCAAAACAGTAATAAAAACTTTTCATGCGAATGATTTTAATTAAAAATATAATAATCACAAAATATATATTATTAAATTAATTAGACTATATCGTAACTCTAGTTAGCTAACTTAACTCATAATAAAAATAATAAAACTTAAAATTTTAGTTATGACATAAAAACATCAAATAACAAATAAAAATAATTTAAAGACAAATAAAATTCAATTTGAAAAAATTAAAATCCTTATTTTTTATTATTAATGAATTCTTTATTATGCACCTCCTTAATCTAGATGTCCAAAAATACCCAAAAAAAAAACTACCACTAGCCTCTTTCTAAAATCTCTCCCCAATTGTAATTTTGGATGAGCATTTATAAGAGTGCAAAAAACGTAATTAGTGTAGACAAGGAACCCACGTCAGAATAATATGCACCAGACACGGACTTGCTGATATTGCCCAAGGTTCGACACCCTAAACAAGGTGCCGATGCCTCTACTAAAGCGTTGAATGAGTAGTACGCGTCGCGTTTTTGCCTTTGAAAGCAATTTTGATTAATGGCAAAATTACAGAACTGGTTTATAACTTCTAGTTTTTATTAAATTTAATCCTCAACTTTCTAATCTCTGCAGTTGGTATTAAAAATTATGATTTCTTCCAATTAAGTATTTTTTATAAAAAAAAATGAAAATTATTTAAAGTCACATAAAATCTTATAAAATTCATCCAATTATCAATAATATTAAGATAAAAATTATACATTAATGTATACTAAATTCCAACTCATCATATATAAAAAAGATGATATATAAAAAATATTAAAAACACAAAATGAGAATGCACCACATATAACAAATTCAAGAAATTAAATACATAAATTGTTAATAATAAAACACTCCTTTATAAAATATTAAAATTAATTAACAAATAAACAATTATATTTAACATATTTACTCTATAAATACAATCATATATAAAACATTATATAATACATAGAATCTTTGCCAAATAAATGAAATTAAATACATAAATACACCTTAATGCCATGTAATTCATAAAAAACCAAAAATATATAAAAAAAACTAAATTAGTAATATATATGAGAGTTTGTGGATGAAGGAAAATATGAAAATTTTGAAAATTAAAATATCAATAAATTGAAATGAATAGTAGCTCCATTTTCAAGTAACACATTATTTGTAGCTCAAAATGCTATAAAATGTTAAAAGCCATTAAATAAGTTCAACAGTAGAAATGAACCAAGGTTATTTTCTAGTGATGGGTGTTGTAAAATAATTCTGATAAAATGACAATTGTTATTTTCTAGAAAGAGGAAATGGAAAATTAAGATATATGAGAGAGAAATGCATCCCTCAACTAAATGGTAGCTCCAATTGTAAGGAGGAGGAAATGGGAATGGAGAAAGCATGAGAAAAGCAAGAAGGAAAGTCGAAGAAAAATAAAGAGGAAATGGTAAAGGAAAAGGAAGATTAAGATATATGGGAGAGAGAAGTATATATGCGAGGAGTGAAGGAAAAGAGGAGAGAAAGAAAGTGACTTCAGCTAGGAGATGAGAAAAATAAAAGAGAAGAAAGAAGATGGGAGAAAATGATGAAGGGAAGGTTGAAGGTTTATATATATAGATAATTATTATTTTCCACTACTCAATGCTAGAAAATAATATGGACAAGATTTTGAAAATTTTTCAAAGGAAACGTGCATTTAAATGTTGGACTTCAAACTTATGATAAAATTATTAAAATAATATAAATAAGATTTTGAAAATCTTAAAGAAGAAAAAACACTTGAATATTTGGCTCTAAAACTTCTAATAAGATAATTTTCCAAAAGTTGCTCCACTTAATCACCCATTTGACACATTAAAACCATAAAAATGGCTGTTATTAAAATTGATTTTTAATCTAATAATCAAGTCAAACTATCTTAAGGTAAATTTGACTTTTTTTTTTTTTGTTCATGAAAATTGTGCATGCAGATTTCAATACAAGGCTTTCATGCAAACTAAAATCAATTTATAATAGATGGAGTAATTCTCTTTATATTGAAGTCAATATTCTATCATGTGCCTTAATATGCCCCTTATACGTAGACTTCATATGAATTTTGAGTCCTCTGAGGAAGGAAAACTAGGATTTAATATTATGTGAAAATTATACATGTGAATTTCAATACAATACTTACATCTAACCTAAAATTAATTAATAATAAGTAAAATAGCTCTCATTATATTTAAGTCACACATGTTTCTTATCATACTTCAATGTAAAATTTTACCGCTTAAGATTGTTGAAGCAAAGATAAATTCATCATCTTTCTTCTAATTTTCCACCCATTTCAGCAATCCTTCACCCTCTGCCTTCCTCACCTCCTCCCCAACAATTAAAAATAGAAAAGGGGATGGATGATCAACTTGTCGAAGCCCTTCTCTACCAAAAATTCCTCCAAAATAAACTAACCACATCTATACTAAGTGTAGTTGCAAGAAAACTCTAGAGTACTTCTGGATCCGATTCGCTTACTTCGGTAGACCTGCAAAGCCCCGAGGTGGGTCCTCGGGGTACACTCCAATGCCTAAATCAGCAATAATCAGAGCTACCAAATATGAATCAAGAGCTCAGCTTGAGTTCAATTTCCATTACTTTTGGGGAGGACCCTTGGGGGGTATTTATAGCCTTCAAAGGGGGCATCCACGCGTTGTTTTTCACGAGAATCAAAATTATATGTGTCGATAATCCCATAAGGTTTCCTTATAGTATCCCTGCATGTACGAAGCTACTGTAAAGTAGGATCATGGGGGATGAACTCGAGCTCGGCCGAGCTCAATGTTTCCTGTTGTCAAAGTGACTAGGTTGGAAGTAGGTTTGGACGCACGAGGTTCTCGACCTCGGGCTATGTGAGATTGGACTGTGACCTCGAACTACTACGGGCTGTGTGAGGTCGGACTGTGACCTCGGACTACTACCACTACACTATCCCCCCCGCCCAAAGTCATTCACTTGTTAATTATAAAAAGGGTTGTGTCACACCCCAAACCCTAGAGCGAGACAGACGCCGTGCACTCGTGAACAGGGCCCACAAATGCACAAGGCTCGGAACCTACTGAGTTCTTACTTAGCAATTCAGACAATTGAAATCTAAACCTTTTTATTTACCAAATATTTACCAATCAAGATGTACAAAATTTATAACTTCATATATACGATCATGACTAAAACTAAGGAAGCTCTGTACATAAATTTTCTATGTCAAGCATGGGTGACTAGTGGCCTAGCTACAAAATCTAAGTCCAAAATAATGCCTAGTTGCCTAGTTCATCACTCTCTCGGGCTCCCCATGTGTCGGCTCTCACTACCTGAAATGGTGGACAAGGAAAAACTATGAGATAAACTCAGTAAGTAAAATATGAAGTGCCCTTATTAAACTTATAGTATGCCAACAAGTGTAATCATGAAAGACGGATACAGTACGGGAACGAAATAGACGTCTCCTCTATAGGTCATGACCAGTGTTATAAACCTCCCACTGGCAAGCTACACTATTTGCTGGTGTATAACCCCCACTAGCAGGGTCACTCGAACGAACCGGTTCTATCAATAACATGTCGACATGTGCTAGTATTTATAAACCCCCACTAGTAGGGTCACTAATAACATGACCACATTGGAGACAAAACAGGCAAAAGTTAACAGAAAAACCATAATTCACCAATCACTTTCAGATCATCAGGACAATCAATTAAATTTCAAGTATGCATGCTCCATTTAATGAAAAACATAAAAATTTCACTTCAAATCAGTCATACTTACTTTTGTATAAAACGGGTTTAGTCCCGCCATACTTCAAAAACAAGTAAAAACATGCTTTTAAAAACTATACGGGCATTACCATAAATTTACTTACCTCAATCGCATAAAGCAGAAAACTAACTCCAAGAGCTAAGGGGATAGAATACTCAGGAACCTAGCCAAAATATTCTAGAATTAATAACCATATGAAAACTACCTATTTAATCCTTTTCAATATTGCCGGCAATTAACTTCCATAATGCAATATTTATTTTATTTATTTACTTTATTTTATTTTACTTCCTATCCGAAATTTGAGCTCTAAAAATCATATTGTGCATTTATATTTAATTTCCAAGTCTCATAGACAAAATGGAGGAACCGGCCTAGGCAAAAATAGCTAATTCACGGCAATTTCATAGAATTTTCCCACAATTAACAACACAGCAACCAAAATAAGCAAATTCCACATGAATTAACTAAAAACACAATTTGAAGCTGCCGAAATCTTCCATTTTTTTCTTGGCAGCATTCGGACAACACAGGGCAGCCACACAAGGACCAAATTCAGCAAGGCAACCACCAATTAGATGAAATTTGGACTTAGAAGAGTTGCCACATACCAGAAAATTCCGCAAGCAAAGAAATTGGAGCTGGCGGTGGGAAGGCTGGTAGGATCTTGGAGAGGAACTAGCATGAAATTGAAAGGAATAACAACAATTAGAGTGAACCCAACATAAATCAAGGCTTAAGAGACGATTTCATGGTTGTTCCCTTACCAGAAAACCAAAAGCACTCTCACCGGCAAGAGCAGCTCGCGGACAGGGGCAAGGAGAACAGAGCAGATCCAAAAATTCTGCAGAGGGTAAAGATTTCCAAGCTCTAAATCTGGTTCTTAAATCAGAAAGGAAAGGCAAAAATCATCTTCCTTACCGGTTTTCCAAGTGGGGTGTTGTCGGGCTTGGCTGGATGCTTGTTCGATGCAGAGGAGAAGGAAAATGAGCAGAAACACGCGGCTGAGGAAGAAAAAGAAGGAAAAAAAATCAGCCCATCCTTATCCTTATTCTTTCTCTTTTAAGCCCCTCAAGTTTGAGAATTTGATGATTAAGTTTAAAAATATTATTTTCTCACAATTAGGTCACTAGCTCACACTTAATTGTTCTTGAAAATTTTGGGGTATTACAGGTTGAGTTGGGTATGAAGTGTAATGTGGCAGGGGCTGGAGTAAATACGACACGTGAGGTAGTAGGGCTGGAGCCAAAGTGAATTATGACACGTGGTCATCCGATTCGGTTGGGGCCGAAGGGAAGTCACGACATGAGGTCATGTGATGCAGCAGGGGCCGAAGTAAGAATCATGACAAGTGGTCATGTGGTATGGCCAGGGCCGAAGTAAAAATCATGATATGTGGTCATGCGGTACGGTCGAAGCCGAAGTAAAAATCATGACATGTGGTCATGCAGTACGATCGGGGCCGAAGTAAAAATCATGACACGTGGTCATGTGGTACGGCTGGGGCCGAAGTAAAAATCATGACACGTAGTCATGTGGCACGACGGGGCCGAAGTAAAAATCATGACACGTGGTCATGTGGTATGGCCGGGCCAAAGTAAAAATCATGAATGAGTGTGAGCTAGCAGAAGAAGTAGTAAACATGGTTTGGTTGAATTTGGACCGGTTTTTGAAATGGAACCGGAAGGGGAAATAGTAATATATTATGAATTAATTCGAGGGGGGACAACTATCCTCGAGTGACGCACTGTAATAAATGGCGTAAACAGGAATAACTGTCGAATTTGAAAGGTCGCGCTTGTTACCGTCGGATATGGACGATCGTGACCATTGATAGGCGAGGAGGCTTCAATATAAATACCCGAGGTTGAGCTATTCAAAATTTACCTTGCTGATTTTATAGCGAAGCGCTGCTGAAGTGAAACGAGATCATCTCGCCGTTTGAGCTCGCAATTTTCCAGAAAATTTCCAAGTGTTTTACTTCGGTCATCACAAGTTCAGGTAATCTCTTGAGCTCGACTTCTAATTTCGGAGTCTGATCTAACTGGTTTCAGACCTAAGTTTGGTAGAGAACATTAGGAGTAGGTTTGAGATCAAAAAGGAAGTTTAACTGTTCTCCCCATCCTATTTGTAGTGAGTCACGAAAGATGTCATCAGAAGAGACACTAAGTATTGGAGGTGGCGAAGGGGAGCAAGAACTAAGCTTGACCAGCAAGAGTGAAGTGGAAAGCTCAAGGAGTGAGAGAAGTGGGGGGGTTGAAGGTGAGATGGAAGAGGTGGGGATTCCTTCCAACGTGTTAGAGGTAGATCCTGATAGGGCGAAATTCTATAATGAGGGGGAGGAAGTGGTGTCAGAGGTGGTGGGGTATGAAAGTATGTGGAGGAGAAGGAGTGACCTCTCCCACCTAGTAGAACAGTATGCCATTCAGGGGCACGTTCTCCTTAGGTCGGCTGAGGAGAGGGAACGGGCATGCTCGGCTCCAAGGGATCATTGGATGCCAGTGTATAGGCATTACTTGACAGCCGGGCTTAGGTTCCCAGTGCCCGAGCTGCTAGTGGCATTGTTGGTGGAGTACGGGCTGGGGTTGACGCAGCTCGTCCCCAATGCAGTTCGGCTTGTTGTAGGGTTTTTAGTTTATTGCTGAACTCGAGGGGTAGTACCTATAGTAAATAGTTTTAAGTATTTTTTCTTAATAAAGGGGGGTAGTAATAAGGAGCGGGGGTGGTTTTATTTCACACCCCGGGTGGCTGGAGGGGAAGGAAGAAACCTGTTCAGCACAGGTCCTTCATCTATAAAGGGGTGGAAGGACAAGTTTTTCTTCGTGGATGACACAAAGTGGGAACTGAGCTCAATAGGTGGAAGAGGAAAAAGTCGAACCCCAACCAGTATTCGCTAAGCTCGGGGAAACAAGAGGAAGTGAAGAGGTTGGAGAAAAGAGGTGAGGACTTGATGGACATCATGCATTTCATCAGTCCGGCAATGTTAAAGGCGGCGGAGGTCTATGGGCCGAACTCTATTTGCAAAGGTCGGTTTAGTTATTTTCAGGCACGTTTAAAATGGACAATGAGTTGACTAACTCGTTCTTTATTTTGCAGAAGAGATGAATCGGCTGATGTCCAGGGGGAAGACGGCGACACTACCGGAGAAGAGGTTAAAGGCTCCAGTCGCACCCTCTGTGGGGGAAAGGGTACCAGGTAAGACTTCGAGGTCTCGCCCGAACGAAAGCACCCGAGCTGAAGTGGGGCTAGCTCGAATCAGGGGAGGAAGAGGGCTAAGGAAGTTGCAGCCCAGAATAGGAGGAGGGTTGAGGAGGTGCAGTAACCTCAGCCTGACGCGCTGATTGAGTTCGTACCTCGACCTCCACCGGTGTAGATTGAACCATCTCTGCGTGAAGTGGGGGTGGTGACTCATGGGAAGGAGAAGGAGTCCCCTATCCCTAGGCAGAAGTCGAGCTTCTACGAGGGTACAAGCAAGACAATTGCCAAGCGCTTCATCAAATCCACTTTTCCTGAGGTGGATCTTAAAAGAGCATGGGGGCTCAAGTGTAGTGCGCCATGCGCTCGAGGTGGGAACTCGAACTGTAGTTTATTATTTTTTATTTATTCACTTATTTATTGTGACGTTGGCTTCTTGTGCAGACGGTGAATCTCATCAATGCTGTACTCAACTGCCTCAAAGAAAGGAATAATCTGGTTGACAAGTATGACGAGCTCAACCTGCAGAAGCAATCAGTTGAGCAGAACTTTAATGACCTAACTTTAGAGCTCGAGAAAGTTAGGGAGGAGTTGGCTTTTGCCAAGGTAGCCACCAAGGCTGAGGTGGAGAAGAGGAAAAGAGCCGAGGAAGAGCTGGCCAAGGCGCGGGGGGAATTGGCCGAGGTTCAAAAGAAGACCGAGCTAGAGGTGCACAACTCGGTTAGGCAGCATGTCTCCAACTTCATCAATTCGGTGACGTTTTCAAAGATTGTGGACCTCTTTCGCATGCTTAGGCTTGTGATGGCATTCAACGACTGTCGGAAGAAGGTGAAGGCCTAGAATCCTGAGGTCGATGTGACAAAAATCACCTTTGGACCTCAGGAGGCTGGAGTGGAGGAGGATGGGGAGAGTAGAACAGCCGAGCTCCGTCCTGACATAACTCTTAACTGGGAACGGGACAAGGCTGGACGAACTGTGCTTCCCCCACGTCTGAAGTATGAGTTCGTCGCCGTGGACGAAGATGAGATCGAGGCTCTTGCAACTACCTAGGTCGGAGAAAATACGGTTGAGCAAGAGGTGGATCAGCAACATCTGGTGATCGACTGACTTCGGCTTACTCCCTTTAGTTTTTTTTTTTTTTTTTTTTTTTTT